AGTAAGCCCATTTGCTGAGATGAGATCTGACCTAAAGGCTGTACAAAACAGGCTAGATAATGCAGAGGAATGAATAATTGACCTAGAAGACAGGACAACAGAAATCACCCAATCAGAACAGCTGAGAGAACAGCAAATAAAAAACAATGAAAACAATATTAGGGACCTATGGGATAATAGAAAGCATGCCAATCTATGCATAATAGGGGTTCCAGAATGGGAAGAAAGAACAAAAGGGATTGAAAAGGTATTTGAAGAAGTCATAACTGAAAACATCCCAAGCCTAAAGGAATCAGATATCCAAGCACAGGAGGCTCAGAGGCTCCCAAACAGGAAGAACCCAAACAGACACACACCAAGACATATCCTAATCATGATGGCCAGAGTCAAGGATAAAGAAGTGATCCTAAAGGCAGCAAGAGGAAAACAAATAGTGAGTTATAAGGGAACCCCTCATAAGGCTCTCAGCTGATTTCTGTACACAAACACTACAGGCCAGAAGGGAGTGGCAAGATATATTCAACACCTTGAGTGAAAAAATAGCTGCAGCCTAGGATACTTTATCCAGCAAGGCTATCATTTAGGATAGAAGGAGACATAAATAATTTCACAGACAAGCAGAAACTAAGAGTTTAGCAACTCTATACCCATGCTTAAAGAAATATTGAAATGTCTACTCTAAATAGAAAAGAAGCAGGATGCTACAAAAATGAGAAATTCATAACTGGAAAGGAAATAACTGCCATGAATTACAAAAAGAATAAACACAAAATTGTAAAAGAAGACATCTAAATCATTAAGAGTGGGAAAGGGAAGCTCAGAAAGCCATTGTGGAAAACAGTATGGTGATTCCTCAAAAGACTAGGAATAGACCTAACATATGACCCAGGAATCCCTTTCCTGGGCATAAATCCAGAAGGAACCCTACTTCAAAATGACAACCACACACCAATGTTCATAGCAGCACTATTTACAATAGCCAAGTCATGGAAAAGGCTTAAATGTCCATCAACAATTGACTGAGTAAAGAAGTAGTGTTATATTTATATGATGGAATACTATTCAGCCATAAAAACCGACA